TTAATTTTCTCATGGAACTTAATACATTGAGTTTTTTTTTTGTCATTCAGCTGTTAAATAGTTAACGATGTTAAAATGGGTTGTTATATAGATGAAAACGACGTGGTTTTGGTAAATATTTTACTTTTTTAAAACGTCATTTTTAATGCCGTTAACTATTTAACGGTGGAGTGACCAAAATAAGAGAGAGTAAAGTTCAGTGACCAAAAAATGTATAAGTTTAGTGAGAAAATTGAAAATTTTTAAAGTTCAGTGAGCAAAATAGGAGAGAGAGTAAAGTTTAATAATGAAATTTATAATTTACCCAAAAAAACATAAAAAAAAGAAGGTTTGAGATGGATTTTTGATGTTGAAGATTCTTTTTGGAGTTTGTTGTTAGAGAAAAAACATAAATCAAATAATTTAAATTTTTAACTTTTATCAATTTTAAAATTAAAATCTCAATATTTTTTTAATTTCAACCTTGAACTTAAATTACTACTAATATGTATTTGAGAGAAGATTTTGATTTTATTTTTCTTCATATCATTTGGGTTTCTTATATGATTTAAATTTTTAAATTTAATATTTTTAAAGATTCATATACCTAACAAGTAATAGTATTTTATTTAAATTTTAATTTGAATAATAATATTCAAATTATTAATAAATGATAAATTTTTAAATATTTAAACAAATTTACATATTTAAATTCAAATGGATGAGTCTGTCACGCTCGACGAGTACAGCTGAGCACCATTAATTTAATTTATAAAAATTTAAAATTTTGAAGGACTCATTGTATGATTATAAATTAGTTAAAATTTTAAGGTAAATTATTTAAAATAAAATATTAATTACATTATTTTTTATGATTTTTAACAATAATTGGATAAAATACCAATACCTAAATTAAAATAAATCAAAATAAATATTTTATTTTAAATAATTTACCTTTAGATTTTTAATTAATTTATAATTATATGCTAAATTATTTAAAATTTTATTTTTTATAAATTAAATTAATTATTCTCAACTGTACTCATCGAACGTTATAAAATTTTCAAAATTCAAATAATATATATTTGACCCATTATCATTATTAGATATATGAAATCGACGTCTAGGATTCTTAAACACTCAACACATTAGGACAGGACAATTAGTAGACATAAGAGGGTAGTATATATATATATATATGTGTGTGTGTTATTGTGAAAGGAAAAATGGTTATGGTTGAGGTGTCAACTATCAATCATGCATGGTTTTGGTTAAAATAGGGTAAATTTATGTTTAGTATCTTAACTATCACTTTCATTTTGTTTTGGTCACTTCAACTATTTTTTGTCAAAATCATATATAATTTACGTTTTAGTTTCATTTTGGTCACCCTCTATTAAAAAACTAACATAACTATTGAATTGGTATTTTCATTTTTTTCATTGATGATGTAGCATTACTTTATGGTGTTATGTCAGCATAATCGTTAAATTTTTAACGGTGGGTAACCAAAATGAAACGTTAAGTATGATTTAAAAAAATAATTGAATGACCAAAACAAAACAAAAGTGATAGTTGAGATACTAAACATATAATTTACCCTAAATAATATCTCCACTATTCACATTTCACTTTCCGTCATCACTTATACCCCTAAATCATACTCCTAATCACATTCCTAATTGGGAATGCTTCCCTTTCTTATTGGCTACTTCCCCAACCATATTATCCACCCCCAAACCAAAAGTCCAAATAACAACAAACCTTGGGTCCTCACTCTTTTCTTTTTGGTGGTAGGGTTCACCACTAATGTTTGTGCTATTTAACTTAAGTGGTGTTTGGTTGACATGAATCTCTTGGAATTAGAGGAATTGAAATCTAATTCCACCACTTTTCTATGTTTGGTTCAAGTTTTCCAAGGGATTTAGAATCTCTCATGGCTTCAACTTTTCATCAAATGAGTTTGTTGGAGGGAATTGAAAATTGATCATACTACCCTCATCAATCTTTTGGTAACTTATTCATATATTGAATAAAAATATTTTTTTATTATTTCGGGTCGGGTTTCTAATTCATATATTCGGGTCGGGTCAAGTGAAACTTTATTTTGGTCGGGTCGGGTCGAGTCGGGTTGGGTTTTTTTAAGTGTGATATTCGGGTCGGGTCAGGTTTGGGGTGAAAAAAACCGGACCTGACCCAAAAAAAATATATAATTTTACCTTATATATTTAGGAATAATTACAATAATACCCCTATATATTTTTTTTTCAATTAAGTCACTATTTTTATTTAATAATTTTTTTATTATTATTTTGGGTAGGGTCGGATTTCTGATTCATATATTCGGGTCGGGTCAGGTTTTTTTAAGTGTGATATTCGGGTCGAGTCGGGTCAGGTTTTTTTAAGTGTGATATTCAGGTCGGGTCGGGTTCGGGTTTAGGGTGAAAAAAACCGGACCCGACCCGAAAAAAAATATAATTTTACCTTATATATTTAGGAATAATTACAATAATACCCCTCTATATATAATTTTTTTCAATTAAGTCAATGTTTTCATTAAATAAAAATAATTTTTATAATTTATTGAAATGAATAATCAATCAATAAAGTGAAAATTTAATATTTTTTAATTTTTTATAATATATTACTACATGTAAGTTGTAAAACAAACTAAAATAAAGAAAAAAAACAAGAAGGGCAATTCTGTCATTTTACATTACTGAAATCAAATTCATCTGTCTGCGAACCAAACATAATATGGAATTGGATTCCAATTCCATTTCTTGCCAACCAAACAAAATATGGAATTGGATTCCAATTCCTGATAGATTCCAATTCTTAACAGATTCCAATTCTTAACAGATTTCAATTCTTGACAGATTCCAATTCTTGACAGATTCCAATTCCTTCAGAGATTCCAATTCCCTCATAAACATTCCAACGAACCAAATGTCACCTTAGGGTAAATTCTTATTTGATCTTCCACCTATCTTTATATTTTTATTTTGGCCATCCAATTCTTTATTTTGATAAAATTATATCTGACGTTACGTTTTATTTATACTTTAGTCATCGTTCATTAAATTTATGTTAAAATTTAACGGAAATAATTATATGACCTTGTATAATAGCAATTTTAGTCTAAAAAATTGGAGTACAATTTAACACTTAGGTCATAATTCAAAATAATACACTAAAATTAATCATGATCTTAAATATTTGAGTAAAATCTCAAAATTTCAAATATCTCATCCTCTTAATTTTTTTTAATTTTATGTATAGATTCTGTTTTATGGACTTTTAAATTTTAAACTTTATTTTTTATGTGAAAATAAAATATGAAATGCATATATGTGACTCGAAAATGTAAGTACCCAAATTTCGTGAGTACCTAACTTACGGGTACTCACCGAGGTACAAGCTGATGTTTTGATATTCAAAAATTTCGGATACTCAACATTTCAGATAGTCGAAAATACGGATACTCGATTATGAGCACCCCTAGTGTTAACTAGGGGTGAGTATTCAATTGAGTCGAGTAAAAAATTTAGAGTTATTCAAGTTTACGAGTCATAATTTATAACTCAAACTTTATTTAAAAAAGTTTGAGTCGAGTTTATGAAATTAGAGTAAAGCTTGTGAAATTCGAGTCGAGTTCGAATTTCTATTTAAATTCAATTGAAAATATTTATAATGTTTATGATACTATTTGATTTCAATTTAAATGATTTTCTATAACCATATAAGATATGCATATATATTTCTTCATATTTTTTTCATATATGAATTGTGATCATGCAAAGTTGAGAGATTCAACTCGTACTTGAAAACCAACCTACTAATTACTAAAATTTTCGAGTTATTCGGGTTCTATTTTATAATTCAAATCAAATTTAAAATTTTCGAATCAAATATAGTTAATAAAATTACGAATTAAGTCAGTCAAATTAAGTTTTTAACATCAATTTAATTTTTTTTAAATCAAGTTAATTTTACTCGCCTACAATATCAACATATAAGAGTCGGCTAAAAAGCCTAAAATCACATCTCTTTGATATATATTCGCTCTTCTAATTGTTGAACTCCTCACCGAGTATTTTGAAAGTAATTAAAGAGTTTAAATATTGCTTAAGACTTAAGAGAGTCCATAACATAAAAGGAAGGACTATAAATTATTACATCATAATTTATTTTTGAGGAATGTGCCATAAAAAATATAAATAATTAAATGCACTTGTCACATGCGTTACCTTTAAACCACAAGCAATCAATTTATTTTATTATAACCCCTACTTAACAATATTTTATATGATTATTGTTATAAATATTATATTTAAAAAATAGTTTTTATGAGAAAAAAGCATTTATATTTGTAATATAAGAATTATTTTTATAAAAATTATTTTAAAAGTGAACTTTAAACTTTAGTTTTCTCCCTAAAATAGTTTTCAAACTTTCTTTTAAAATATTATTTTAGAGGACGGTCTAATCTTGTTATTTTTCCTTTTTATTTAACTTTCTGTTAATTTACATCTAAATCAACATTTTTTTCATATATATTGAAGCATTTATTTTCATCTATTTTTATAATATAATGTTTTCTATGGTTATATAACAATAGTTTGACTTTTTGTGTTACTTTTATTACGTTATATTTTTAGTCATAAAAAATGATGATTTTTCATAATTAGATCATCTTTATAAATAGTTTACCGATGCATTCAGAATCGTTTATAAAATAATCTATCATATTAATTCTTTTAATCTTCATATCCTTTGAATTTCCATGTTAGATTTTGTAATATTTGTTACACTTCACCTTTCTATTTTAACAAAAATCTATTTTTTCTTAATTTCAAAAAATAATATCATTTTATTTTCAAAAAAGTATAAAATAAATAAATAAAAGAAAAGAGTTGACGGTGGTAGGAAGAAGATGAGTGCGCTAATCACGGCCTCTTTTACTATGTAAACTTTTTCTAGTAATTACTCCAACTTTATAGTCTGAATGTCCAAGTAATCTGATTCGCATTCTCTTTCCATTCACCATGTCCTTCCCCTTCTTCTTCTTCCTGCTCTCCTCCGCTCTCCTCCTCCATTCTTCCTCCTCTCTCCCTCTTCCCTCGCCTTACAGTAAGCAGCAATTCACCCATTTTTTCTCTTTTCTCACCCATTATCTGCTATTTATTTATTTTGTCTTTTTTTTTATTTGCAGACACTAGCTTCCACATTGACTGCGGCGGCGCCTCTCCTTCCACCGACTCCTACAACATCTCGTGGTTAGCCGACGATTTCTTCACCGGAGGTTCCACGGCCATGGTCTCCGAGCCCCTTCATTTCCGTCTCCAACAAGAGAAGACCCTCCGTTACTTCCCTCTCTCCTCCGGTAAGAAGAACTGCTACAATATCCCTCTACCTCCTGGCCGTTACTACATTCGTACATTCACTGTTTACGACAACTACGACGGCAAATCCCATTCCCCTTCCTTCGACGCTTCCGTCGAGGGCACTCTCGTATTTTCCTGGAGCTCCCCTTGGCCCGAGACTCTCGCTCGCGATGGCGCCTACTCCGATCTCTTCGCCTTCGTCAAAGACGGTCAACTCGATTTCTGTTTTTACAGCATTGCCACTGACCCTCCCATCATTGCTTCTCTCAAAGTCATCCAGATCGATCCTTTGTCGTACGACTCCGCTGGTTTGGGCGATAACTATATTCTGGTCAACTACGGAAGACTCTCTCCTGGTTCATCACAATGGGGTCCTGGTTTCACATCTGACCCGGATACCTTCGGCCGCTCCTGGCAATCCGATTCCGATTATCGAGGTGCCAATTCGAGATCAGCTAGGATTATAACCACTAAAGAAAAAATAACTCGTACCGAGCAAGCGCCGAATTACTTCCCGATGAAATTGTATCAATCCGCGGTGACATTTGACGGCGGTTTGGAATACGAATTACCTGTCGATGCAAAGCTTGATTACTTGCTGTGGTTTCATTTTGCGGAGATTGATTCGACTGTTAAAAAAGCAGGGGTGAGAGTGTTCGATGTGCTGGTCAACGACAAGAATGTGAGTAGAATGGATATATTCAAGGAAGTCGGGAGCTTCGCGGCCTACGCTTTAAATTATACGGAGAAGAATTTGAGCAATTCTGTGTTGAATGTGAAGCTGTTGCCCGTGGCAGGGGCTCCTTTGATCTGTGGACTTGAAAATTACGCCATGGTTCCAGCTGATTTGGCCACGGTTCCTGAGCAAGGTAAAAATAGTGAATTTATTATTTTTAATAATATGCATGCCGAACTGAAGTTGCTTATGCGAGTTTGATTGTTCATTGAACTGATTAGTTTCTTCTACTGGAAAATTAGACTTTTTGGGTAGTTTTAGAAGAAACAATTTGACTTCTCTCTATTTTTTATGACTATAATAACTATTGTTATATTAAAGTGGGTGTGGGTTTGGGGGGGGGATTGGAGTTCTCGAAATGAAAAGTGAAGAGTTTGGTGTTTTAAGTAGATGTTAAAGCATTGCTCGTAGTTTAGTTTCAATAGTCTAACATTGTATAGCATTTTTTTGAGGCTGTGTTGATGAAAATTTCCGTAAGATATGTTATTAATATAATCACTCACGAGGGATGGTCAAGTCATCATATCCATTCATTGAGTGGGTTTGAAAGCTTATATATCACTGATAAATTTGTCAGTTCAGACAGAAAAATCAGAAAATTTGTTCGTCGTTGTTCTAATTTCTTTGGAAACTTGAATAGATCCTTGCACAGGCCTTATGTTTATGGTTGGTGTTAAGGATCAGGACTTTGAAGGATCAGATTCTTGGAAGAAACAATAATTCTCTTGGTTTTGAAAATGAATATGTAGAAAAAGTTCACATGTAAATAATGTTTGTGCTAAAAAGTGGTTAGGATACATATATATTTTTTAAATGGATGTTTACTTATGTGGCAATCTTGTAGTGGTCGCGATGAAAGCATTGAAAGATTCTCTCCGTGTTCCTGACCGAATGGGGTGGAATGGTGATCCATGTGCTCCTACTGATTGGGATGCTTGGGAAGGAGTTACATGTCATACTAACAAGAATGGAACAGGCCTTTCATAACTCAAATGTAAGTCCCGTCTTTGCTTTTATTCAATGAACAAAACTTTCATACTTGAATCAAATAAAATTTGAATAGAAGTAAAGATAAAAGTAAAATTTGATAACAATAGGAGATTAGAGATGGAGTAATTTCTTGGTCAGAGGAATTATTTTGCGAAGGAGACTCCGAATAAGAGATGTGATACAAGAGGATCAAGAAGGTAATATTTAAGAGAAATGAAAACATTGTAGAGAGAAGGAAAAGTCAAACACTTCTACATTAGATTTACTAAGATTTCTTTATGCATGACTTTTTCATTTAATAAAAAATACTTTAAATCTGCACTTCACTTGGGACAGTAATTTATTTTTAGTTGACTGAAGCGTTGTAACTGTACCAAAGCCAACATTTTATATTTTAAATGCTTATTGCATATATTGCCTTTGCACATATTTCAGAGAACTTGGAAGTCAAGGCTTGAAGGGGGTTATCAGTGAGCAGATTAGTCTTCTTTCAAACTTGATAAGCCTGTAAGTATTAGCTGCTAGCCTTCTACTCAACATCATATATACATAGTGAAGATATGAGTAGTAAATGATTTACTAAGCATGATTACCTTTCTAACTTGTTACACTTGGAGCACTCAACACATAACTTGTATAGTCCTTCATTGTGGGGGAGTCTAAAATACAACCAGTTAATATAAGGCTAAAAAAAGGCCGCAATCAGTTGTAACCGAAAAACTTATCAAGTGCGTAACTCTTTAGAGTAAACTGGGTAACATTTTAGATTGAAACCGAAAATATTACGTTCTCCATAACAAATCATGTAAATTGCATAACTGTTCTGGTTGCAACCTAAAAAGTTATCATTAAGAAGCTCATGTAACATTCTCGGTTGTAATCGAAATTATTACCAATTGTGTTACCTTTTAGAGTAGACAGGGTAACATTTTAGGTTAAACGCCGCAATGTAACGTTATCGGTTGTAACCGAAATTATTACCAATTGTGTAACTTTTTAGAGTAGACATGGTAACATTTTAGGTTAAAATCTGCTGTAAATTAGCCTTAGATTTCCTGGCCGCACAGCAGAACCACCGCTTCATTGTTGCTTCCTTTTGATTACTTGTCCTGTTGTGAAAGTTGTATATATATTTTAAATTGTTCAGGAACCTCAGCACTAATTCCCTGGACGGCACTCTACCAATTGGGCTTGGACAAAAGTCCCTTGCACGACTGTAAGTCCTAATTCTTTCATTAATTTGAAGTGCACTGCAGACTCTTATAACAGTCTTTCTTTCACTTTTCTGGCATTTAGGTGTTCTTTTTACCCTTAACTAGCAAAAATATTGTTTAATCACAGTTTGTTCTGTGTAGACTTCTGTAACAGCCTTTTTCTGTAGCCAGTTTTCTCTCCTGTTACATTGATTTTTTCTCAACTAGCAAAAAATATTGTTTAATCGTAGTTAATCTATTTTCATTTTCATTGTGCGTATGGTCTTAGTTTTTATAGGGTAGTTGGAGATTGATATTTTTAATGAACTATTACTTCTCTGTCCCCTATCTTGCTTTTTCAATGTTTCTGCAAGATGGTGTTTCGATCATCAGATCCTTGAGTCAACTTTTTTCTCGAATTTAATGTATTGCCTTTGACTTGTATATTTGTGCAGGGATTTGTCAAATAATCAATTCTCAGGTTCCATACCAGAAAGTTTAACATCTTCAAATCTGCAGCTTGTGTACGTCTTGTTCCTACTGTTTTTTTTGAGAATTTAACACATTTTCATTTTCTTGATACATAACGGTTCTGTACATGCTTCTTATGATTTCTTTTATTCATTGTCTAAAGGTTGATTAATTGCAATATCTCAATATGATTTTGATAAATATGATGTGCTAAACCTTTTCTGACAATGTGGGGCTATGATCATACTGCATGGTTGTTCAATTGTTTAAGGCCATATTTTTAGTAGGCCAAGTAAAAATGAGCTCCACTTTATTTGGATGTCCAAACCGCATTAAACATGTTTCTTTAACTTTGTTCTCAGTGGATGCAAGTTCCTCCTTTTCCCTTGTATACTTATCGCCCCTTTTCCCATTGTGTGTACACATCCAGTGTTGTCGAGGCGTGTGCCTAGGCACGCCTGGTGTACATAGGCATGCTTCATTGTAAGGCGATAGGCATAAAAGAGCCCACCTGATTGAAGTTATCTTTAGCCTTTTAATCACTTTTTTTCATTTAATGTACCTTTATAATTTGTTAGTAAGAAAGGGATAATATCAAGCTCTATACCTCTCAATATTTGAACATTCAACAACAGACATTTACCATAAGAAATTCATGCATATTAACCAATAAAAATTGCAGGTTTTGTAGACAAATTAGACCACACTTTATTATAAAAATTAAGCCTTATTTATATGTATGCACAGACAAAAAACTTACATATACATATTTTGCTTTACTTCACTCAGGCTAACGCATTATTTGCACCTTGCACTGAGGCAATATAAGGGTTCTAGCACCTAGAGTGCACCTTGCGCCCTTGACAAAACTGGCATTATCATCACAACAACTCTTTTCTTTTTGGGGGTAGTTGATACTTTGTTGCCCAACATTCAGTCCATTGTAGATCATGTGGCCTGAGTAGAATGTTGTGGACACTAGGAGTGATATTTCTACCTATTTCCTGATGTTTTTGGAAAATTGAGCCAAATTGGCTATTTGTTTTTTTTTAAACAGAGACTATTTAGACTTTCACCCTCACATGTTTCCATATAATCCTATCGCATGGTTATTTGCCATTTAACATTTTACTATTTGGGTATGCATTTCTCAGGAGACTTAACAATAACTTATTGGAAGGGCGAGTACCAGAGGAACTTTATTCTGTTGGTGTGCACGGAGGAACCATTGAGTACGTAACGGCAATGCTTTTTTATTTGTTCTTTATTATGTCTTTAGTATGGAGAAATCATTATCTTCTTTAATTTGTTTCACATGCATATAGATGTTGATCGTTTGCCTTTATCATTTCTGCATGCATATTAGATTTCAACTGTTTGCATCTGCAAACTTTTCCCCTTTTATGTACCTTTTTCATCACTCTGTTCAACTAGTGTAGTTCCTTAGAGGAGATTCCATGATTTCATTTATTCTTTCCAATTTGGTGGAAAATTGATTTCTTATTTTCCCTCTTCATCTTAGCTGTAGAATCTCATGACTACCTTTCCTCTTCCATTGAATTAAAAACGACCCTCGTTTTATATCCTACATTTTGATAAAATTGCTTGAAACATTACTTTTGGTCTGATATTGCAGCTGGACAATCCTCCACAAATTAATAACAATAGAGGTAAAAGGAACTCATGGATTATGATAAATGAATGGACTACCAGGGCTATTTAACTTGCTTGCAGGGAACTATCTTGTCTTATTAGTTTGAAAGCTTGATTAGGGTCAACAATTGCTTGAAATGGGTTTAATATTGTCAAATTTGCTCAAACTCGGTACTCTAGCTTGTGTTTGATACTGAATGAGTAGTAGTATTCACTGAACTGAACATATGTAGCTCACACTTGAACTATTTACACCGGTAACTAAGAATTCGTTGGGTTAGATGGCATGATTGAATCCTTAGGACTGATCAATTTAGGTTTTCCTTTGGTTGATGCAAGTGAAAAGAAATAGCTAAAGCATTGATCAAATGGAATCTTGTATTTGCCAAATATAAGCCTAAAGCTGCCAACTCAAATTTTACAAATAGCTATATTTTTATGCAGTATCTGTACTCAGTTATCTTGATTTTTTTTTCTAGTCTCTCTGGTAACAAAGGATTGTGTGGAGTTCCTCCTTTACCGGATTGTCCTCTGTTTTGGGAGCATGGTCATTTATCTAAAGGTGGTAAAATTGCAATAGGCTTATCATGCTTCCTTTTTGTTGCTGTGCTGCTACTGGTGATCTACATATTCTGTATCAGGCGGGGTAGAAATGATTATGATTTTGGTCTACCTTCAGAATTAATATGTAAGTATTATCTCAGAAGTTCAGTTTTTATCAGTTGCCTCTGTTTGATGTGTATTAGCTTTGATATACATTTATGATGTCATCACATTGCCTGCCCTTTGATATATTTTAACAATAATTACAACTGATAGGCTAGTACTGCACTCCCGACTCCAAAAGTTTAAAGGTAAATTAATCATTGCCGTTGAACTAATGGACTTTAGAACCTGTGTATTTTGTTCCTGTTTTGGAAGCTATAAATTACTTCAAAACATATTAGAAATTTCCCAATCCTGAAAGCTAAACTTCATTAGATCCATCATTGGAGTCTTGACTGATATCAACCCGGGGTTATGATTCATGGAAAGATATGCTTTGAATATTGAGTTAGAAATGGAATTCAATAAGACGAACCGGGAGTTTTTGGACATGATATGTTTGACTATTGCTGGGAGGGGGGGGGGGTTACGTTTGTTAAGTAGTCTATGAAAAGTGATTGTTGTTTTTCACTCACCGGAGTGTTTTTTATCCTCTATGGAAGCTGTACGTGGTTTGAAATCAGATGTATCCAAGTGAAACATTTTAAGCAAAGTCTGTGTATGTATTTAATTATTTATTACGATTAAGAATTTTATGGTTGTGGTAAATCATGTTAAGGTTTGATGTTTGATTCCCACTAGGTGGAGTTTAAGAGAAAAAAACTCTTCCGGAAGATGCTAATTTCCTCTAATGTTCGTTCTAGACTGGATTCCATTTTGGCAATGTCCATTGGCATCTTCCCCATAGCAATTCTTACATTTTTACAGAACTTAAAATTTATTGCATAATAGAGGAGTCATACCAACTTTCTAATGTTCTGTTGTACGCTAGAGTGCATGAAAAAATGCTCTGCCACATCTTCTAATGTGAAGATCCTTTTATTTTAACAGCTAATATGCATTATGCTTAAATATTGATGATGATTGTGTGAAAAAACTGATTGTTGGCGGTTGGCAGCACTTGCTGCAAAGAGGAACAGGTACCAACGACAGAAGTCACTGATGGTTCTTGAAATGGAGAGTCAGCACGCCAAGGGGATGACATCACTTCCCCTTAATCCTCATTAGTTGCCACCCAACCAGCTTTGGTTTTCATAGTTGCCCACTCACTCACTCACTCACTCACCAAGAGGCCATATATCTTAGATTAGAGGGTGACCCATGCAATGCAATTATAGAGAGATTATACCATGAAATAAGACATAAAGGAGTTGGTGGATTTGGATTTATTCAACAAAATGGGGTCTTATAAAATGCAAAGGTGATAAGGTCAGTGTATGTGTCAGTCATAACCCCCCCTCTTTTTTGTTGTTGTTGTGAAATTTGGTGAGCATTGCAATGCACGAAGTTTTAGGTAAATGGCAGCAGTAATGTAATGGGAAGAGGGCCAAGGCATTTTTAGCTGATTCTAATCGCAATATTCAGTCTCTCTTTATGAATTTTGGGTTTGTGTTTTCCTTGTAAAAGAAAATATGAAGCATGCTGTACAAGTTGGTTCTTTTCTTTTAGATTTTGGGTTTGTATTTTATTGTTGGCTTGGGTGACCGCATCAACGCTGCTTTGTAATGCAATAAATAAATACAAAAATCAATAAAATAAAACTTTCGATCAATGGTTGAAAGTGAATTTGAAGGAGAAGATGTCTCCGTTGTAAGGGCTGGAATAATTTTTTGGCAATTGTGTTAGAATATTTGAAGGAGGAGGAATACTATGATATTTGATAATTATTTTATTGAAAAAATAAACATTAAAGAGAAAAGCATCCGATTGTGGGAGGAAATTAGGCATTGTAATAATGCATAGTCATAGTCGGGTTCAGGCATATAGTTCAACAAAAAGTTACACCTTGGTTATGCGTTGGCTAAAGGTAAATTCATGCGGCGTCGTTTATCGCCAATCAAATCATTAGAAGTGAACTGGAAAACTGAGTATTTCACTTCACCATGACCCTCGGGGTTTTGGTAGCAGAACCATGGGCTTCGCATGAACTTCTTAAATAATTTATATTATTTAAATTTTATATATTAGGTAATATATAACTACAAAAAAGTAAATTTATAATAATATATAATTTGATAATTAAATATTAAAAATATATTATTTAAAGTTTTAATGAAACATTATTATATACTAAATTAAAAGCAAGATAAATATTTTTTAAAAGGTTTTAAAAAATACTATAGGTGAGAATAAATGAACTTAAATCAATAATTTATAAATATAGATAAATTCAAGTAAAAATAAAAAATGATATTTTAGATTGTACTAAGCTTTAATAAATATGAGATGTGCTAATATCATATATAAACTTATCTCAGAACACATATGTTGTGAAATAAATCACGATGTCCATTTAGAATAATTCATGTACATATTAAAATTTTCGAGTTATTGAATTATCATGACCTTTGGAAGGTATAGTACAGAACTCATATCGGGTTAGTATACTCTAATAATAAATAAATATTATTTCTCTGCTTTCTAATGAACGAGAATAGGATATAATTGACAATAAGACTACGATACTGTTGTATCCTTCAGTGCATCCTAAGTTAAAATTAATTATGGTACCTATAATTGTCAAACATTAACAAGAATGATCAAAATTAAATACATAAAAGTAATAAATAAATAATTTTAAAATAAGTAATTTAAATCATGACATATTGTGACGTACAATCCATATTATTTTAAAAAAATTGACATTGATTTAATGAATAAAGGTACCAAATATGTAACAATTGATAAATATAAACACTGGATTGGTTGAAAGGAAAGCACATATACTACGTTTCAAAAACAACAAATTCAAGTATCACATGTGCAATGAATAGAAGTTTTTAATCTAGGGTTTCTCTATTCTTTTCTCTTTTTCTTTAACTGCGGTTAATCTTTTTTCTTCTTCATCTTTGTGATCGACGGCGACACCAATTTTGATGTTGGCCGCCAACCACGGTATTCATTGTTTTCCCTTTACTTTATTATAGCGTATCTTAAAAAAATTCTTATTTTTAATAATTTTCCTTTATAACACATCTTCTTCTGCCTTTATGACATGTTTTTCTTTGCCTTTATAACACGTTTTCGATTGTTTAGCTGTTGTTTTCGTTTTTCTTTTTTCAGGGTTGGATTTGAATTCGTCAAGACTGATCAAAATGACGCTTATTTATTATCATGTTGATCTTCCCTGCTTTGGAGCCTCGGATTGAACTTAGATATGGGATTTGCGTTTGTAGATAGTATTTTCACATCACTTGATTCTGATTTGTAGTTTGTTGATGGCCTTTCAATAGTTTCATCCCTTTTGTAGTTCGTTTACTGATGCAATCAGATCTGTTTGTATCTATCTTTTGTTTAAGTTTATTTTGTTAGGTTTGACTAGTTTTTTGTGTTTAGTTTACCATTTTAATTGTATGCCCTCATTGTAATTTGAATATTTTTTATTTTTTAATATTGTATGCTTCTAAAAAAAATTATATCACATGTGCATTGTTTGACAAATATAAGTATCAAATTGATTCGGAAAAAATACATCTATAAAAAGAAAAGAAGACAAATTTATATACTAAATAATATATTAAACGTTTTCAAAATCATCTATAAGATTTCAGTATTTGGAAATGAAATCTACACAAATTTTACGATTCTCGCTTTAATTATTCTTCATTGATGGTGAAGTTCTACGGTGCGGCAGCCTAATATACGGATAAAATAAGGCGTTACCGGTTTTGTTTTTATTTTAAATAACAAAACCGGTAAAAAATGACCGAAAACATTATTATTTCTACCGGTTTTGTTATTATTATTTATTACCGATATAGGTAATCGCGAGAAAAATCCGGTAAAAAACAATGTTTTCGGTAAAGCGCTACCTAAAACATTATTTTTTTGACCAAATTTTTTCTACCCGTTTACCTATTTCGGTAATTAGAACCAGTAGAAATAATAATATTTTTGGTCATTTTTTTATCAGTTTTGTTATTTAAAATAATAACAAAACCGATAGCGCCTTATTTTAGCCGTATATTAAGGTGCCGCACGTGAGCATTTCCCCATTGACATGAGACATTTTAGATCTTTACTGTAACACCCCAACCGATATTCAACCCAAATACGAGTTTGAGGCGTCACATTACTTTACAAACTTTGACTTTTAAAGAAAACCGAAGAATTTTTTTTTAAACTTTCATTAAAATAACATTTTTACTTTACATTAGCTGACCAAAACAATACACAACTGAATAGAGCATTTGTAACTAACATATTTCTTACATGCCAACACACTACATACAACAAATACATACTGTGACTTTACTTCTGATCTGATCGCTGAGTGAAGATATGTTGCTCTGCAATTTCCTATTCTCGATTCTTTTTCTCTTCGGAACCTACGTGTAAAAACACTTACACACTAAGTCATAGACATAGTGAGGCATAATTACATAATAAAGAATTATTAAGAATATAATTATGCAGTCTACTATCCAAATGTAAATATACTATCATATCATCATTTATCGTACCACATATGAAACAATGTAAATCATAATAATACCATATTAAAATACAATCATATACATACTCTTTATGTCTTGTTTAAGCCCATATACACTATTGAGAACTCAAGGTATACGAGTACTATGAGGTTGTGCACACGTATGCTGTCACCACAACTCAATGAATGTCCCGAAGGACCTATCCAGATGTCATAAAGAACCTCGGCAACTGTCCATAGGTCCCGAAGAACCTTGGTAAATTGTCCATATGTTCCTTAGAACATAGGTATACTATCCATATGTCTCGAAAGACATAGGTAATTCAGTCCATATGTTCCGTAGAACATAGGTAAACCCTCGACTCTTGGCATGCCAACTATACCTACAGTTCTCATACTCATATCATGGGCATTATCTTTTACCTTATTATATGTTCACACATTCATATCACATATTTCTTTCCTATAGCTCTTTATCACATTTTCATATGATCATCTTATCACATATACCTTTTCTCATATGATTTCATATTCATATGCTATATATTTCATATTCTTTTTTATGTTCTTATCATACCTCTTATTTCATATTCTTAGGTAATCATATAGATCATTTTAACTATTTTACATATTTATCCAATATATATATATATATTGTAACATGTCAATACATCTGCTCATGTATACATATAAATCATAACAAACACATCACACACACACTTCACATACTTAATATATATATCCTATAATTCATTCAATCACATATGACACATACACTCATATATATAAGATCTAATATGGAAAATAGACTTACAACAATTCACATAGTATATCCTATAGACATGTAACTTTTCATGCATGTTCATTTCAAGCATATCAAATAATGCATATGATATGAATTCATATCATGTTTCATAATATTGAATGAATCATGTATCAAGATATTAAATCTAGACTTATTGCAAGTCTAGAACTGAATATACTAACATAATCATGCTATGCATATGCACTCACCTCAACCCTGCTTGTTTTGACTTGATCCTAATCCTTTGTTTGTTGCGGAACAAATTACTTTTTATATCTATATAGTAGTACATTGATACTAATCATTATACTAATCAATATATTTTAAACTATCACTTCTTAGGCTAAAAAGAAAGCTATTTTCAACTTTTAATGAAGGTATGCATCGATGCACTACACCATGTATCGATGCATCCCTTGTCGGGTGCATCGATGCACTGTCTATACATCGATGCATAAATCCCATTCAATGTTTGCATTTTTAATGGGTGCATCAATGCACTTCCTGTGCATCGATACACACTGAACTATTTCTGGAAATACCCTTGATGCATCGGTACACATTGAATGTGCATCGATGTACATAGCCTATAAATGTCATTTTAAGCTTGAAACCCATCAACTTTTCACTTAATTCTTCTATTTTAAGCCCCTATCATTTCATTAAACTCAACTACCGTTACTTAAACCAACTTATATCCATATAAACCCTCTTTATCTTCCATATCTCATCATGATTCTTAAATTTTAAGAATCTTACCAAACTTTCAACTTTGTTATTAATCCTTTCTAACTTCACAAATCTTATTCTTATTGATGGCAAGTCAAATTCAACTTTCAATTCTTATTATAAACTCTATTTCAAGATTTCACTCAAGAACTCCAAACCTTTAATCTTCTCTAACTCCTTTGTCTTTTGATTTTAAGATAACTTAAGCTTAGTTATACTCTAATGATCATAACCCAACCTTAATTTAACCAGAAATTATCTAAATAGAAAACTCACCTTTGCTTGGCTTCACACGTGAAGAAGAAGAGAAAGGAAGAGAACTCTGGAAACCTCTAAACTTTGTTTCCTTCCTCCAACGTGTATCTATATATACCATTATTAAATATTTTTTCTTTGCAATTGACCATACTATCCTTTCATTCCTTATTCTTTTCAATTTAATCCTACACCACATTTATCATATAAGTCTTTAAACCATTCA